TTTTTATTTTTATAGAAGAGTGGAAGAATCCTCAAATTATACACTAGACCCACACCCAGGACAATTTATCTGTCAGCAAAGAAGGCCCTGAAATTCATTTCATTTTCATATTTTTGTTCATTCAGCCATTCAGCCATTGATACATCAAATAAGTGTTGTTTAAACATTGTGGAGCATATTGATGAGGAATCAGAGAATAACAGAAGACAAGAGTACATTCTAAGTTAAAAATGACTGACAAGCAATAAGAAAACATCATGCAGAGTTAGAAGATAAGAAGAGGTAGCATGCAAACTGAATCTATCTGAAACTGCAGATATAGGTGTTAGAAACTATTTGGTTGAGGAAGTATCACAGAGAAACCTATGCATTAAATAATGTATTAAGCATTTTATTTATTCTAAATATCAGTATTTTACATGCACGTCCTTCTTGACAGGTTGTGTGCGGAGGTTCTCATGCTGCCAAGTTAACATAGAGTCAGGGAAAGGAAAAATCTGGTGGAACATCAGGAAAACCTGCTACAGGATAGTTGAACACAGTTGGTTTGAAAGCTTCATTGTTCTCATGATCCTGCTTAGCAGTGGTGCTCTGGTAAGTGATCTGACACCTAAGCCAATAAATTAATTAAGATAATATTCTTGATAAATGAGCTAAAAGATAAAAATATCATAGCAAGTTTTTTTTTTTTTTTACCTAGAATTAATCCCTATGATTAGTACCAAGGACAAAAGTTTAGTTGAGCTCAGTAAATAGGTACTAAGAACTCCTACATGCCAGGCATTATCCTTGCTGCTCTGAATGCAAAGATGGATAAGATCCAGGTACAATTCTCAAGGAGCTAAGAGAGCAATGGGGAGGAGGGAGATCTGAAAGAGTGACTGCAGAGCTGGGATGTGTTTGTAAGTTTAGTGTATACATGACAAAGCACTGTAGCAAGGAGACAATTGTCTGCTTGCAATTTCAGAAAGGTATATGATGCTTTGTAAGGTCTAGAAAGATGAATAGGAATTTTCCAGCCAGACAAGGCAGGCTGAGAGGGACAAGTGTACAATGGTAAGGAAGCATAAAACAGCACCAGATATTCAGGAAATTAAAAGTTGCTGAGCTGGTATTGAGTGTTGTGGGAGGTAGAACAAGTACAGGTGGCCAGAGATACTGTGAGAAAGACAGGTGGTTTCAGCTTATGAAGCATCTTGCATATCATTATAAAGGAAAAACAGACTGTAGTTTTAGGATGAAAATGGGACACGTTTCTCATTCTTGTATATATACCAGCACCTTCTGTGGGAGTTGAAAGGGATTTGGGAGAGTTACAAGTTCCCTGAACCTTTTCTTAATTGTCTTTTTTCCTGCTGTCAGTAACAAAGTTTAGCCATTAGAAGCCATTAGGAGCCCAGATCCAGCTGGATATACCACTGGAAGTTCCATTATACTAAAAACAGAATACTCAGGAACTTTCTAAATTGCTTCATAGACAGTCTTCATGGATCTGGGATTTGATTGTGCTGTACTTATAGCTTAAGTAAACCTGTTACTGTTTAGTGGATTCTGGCAGAAGACACGAGGTGTGCGGGTCAGAGATAAATGACTTTATTACTCATGGCACAGAAAGTAGCATGAGCTTCAACACGTTTGTGTTGGTTCCCCTTTTCCCCAGATCTCATGGCGGCATAATATAGGCCTGGATGAATGCTGCACACACAGTGGGTTGATGTCACAGCTGAGGAACACTGAGCTTAGGAAACCCATCCTTTTATACTGAGCAGTAAGCAATCCTGCTCTTTGTCCCAGAGAGCGACACTACCTAATTCCTCAAGGTTGCTCACTGCATGTGCAACCCTGAGAAATGGCCTGGGCAAAGAGCAGTCAGGGCCTTGCATTCCTGGCACAGCCAGTAAGAACAAGCAGGGGCCCTCAGGGGCCACCATGGGTTGCCTATCCTAACAAGCCTCATCGCTCATAAACAGAAAATGTAATTTAAAAAAAATACTATTCTACTTATTTGGTGTCATGCAAGTAGGAATGTTGATGATGTCTACAATATCTTGTAATCCTAATAACTGAGGAAGTTTATTTAATGCTGTGTCACATATAGGATGGGGATTTTCAGAGAGGAGATTACAAAAAAATTAAAGTTTAGAGTAAACCCTTGCTGAACATGTCTAAAAAGGACAATGATATTTTGTGGGGGCAGAGGGAGGCATTCTCAAAACTGGACTTCAAGTGAATCATATGAGGAAGAAAAGGGAATGGTATTTTCCCTTTTCACCAAGAAGTTGGTGTTTTTATTCAGGGAGTTTGCAAATTAAGCCAGATTTTAAAGATGTATGTCTGCAAACTAATAAAAAATACTAGCTCTCATTTAATGCATACTTATGTATTTCAAAATCTTTATTTAGATTTTCTCATTTGATTTTCAATCAACCCTGTATTTCACCAATGAGGAAGCTGTGTACAGAGTTTAGGAAGTTTCTTTATGTCCCAAAGCTAGTAAATGACAGAGCTATAACTTAATCAGAGTCTGAAATCTAAGTCACCGTATCTTTTCACTGTGTGTAGCTGTTCAGAAAGAGAAATGCACACCATATAGAAATAAGTGAGTGGTAACTGAGATACAAAGCCTAAGCCCCAAATCAGGTAGGGCTCACATAATGAAATCCTCGCCTCCTTGCCCCCGCATCTACACAGTTAGTGCCGGAAGCCAGGACTCCTGCCAGCTGCATCCTATTTCAGGTTCTGGGACAGGTCAGCGTGAGGTACGCTCAGGCAGGGTATTTAGTTCTGATCATCAAGACTGCTGGTTCTGCTCTAATTCTGTACCCCGGTTCTAGGAACAGGCTTCTTGCTCCTTGTGACTAAGCCCCTTTCTCGTATTTGTATTGCAAGGACTGAGTCATTGCTGTAAGTTTCTGTTTGGGGGGCTTGCTTGATTCCTCCAGACCTTGGAGAAAGGCACAGGAAAATCCTGAGGGGTAGAAGGCTCCCCTGCACTTCAATTCCACTGACTTTCTAAAACTTCTGCCAGCTGCTGGGGCCTTGTTTTTCCATCTTAGTAGGTCTGTCCATTCTCTCTGCCCCAACTTCTCTTCTTCAATACCAATACCAACGGTTTCCAAAAGGTGCTAAGGATAATTTTTATTGTATTGACAGTTATATTTGGAACAAGAAAAATGAGGATGGCACAAGCTCATGACTATGGGCAGATAATATAATGTTAACCACTAAGGATATGGGACCTTTGACTTTCATTTTCTCCAACAAAAATAAAAATGAATTGTGTTTCAATCTGAAAGAGAAAATGTGAATTCAGCAATCATTTTAAGCGTCTCAGTGAGCTCAAGTCTTTAAGTTCATCCAAATTATTTGCTAAGGGACTTGCGAGTATGGCCACAATGTCGTTGTCTATCGCTTTCTAAACATTCTCGGAAAGTATAAGTACCATGTTCCTGGATTGAATATAACAGTGATTTGTAGAGCTGAAGCTTTGAATGATAAAATATGGGTGCAAACTTCAAAGGAAAAAACCATCCCCTGTGTTCTATAGCCCAATCAAGCTACTGCAATCATTACCTTTTCTTGAGACAGTACTAGGCACTTCGCTACACCATCATATAGGAACTGAAAGAGAAGCTCCAAATCCTACTGGTGAGTATGAAGGAGAGTGTAGAATGAGAAAAGTTTATAAGAGGGGCTTACCCTGGGAGCCTGTCTTAAATCATTAGGACATACGATCTGAATGGGGAGTAAAAGGGACTCAGATGAAGGTGGAAAATCCCTATAAGTGTCAGACATCAAAATTCTTTTAGAGGACTGTAAGTAACTTCATTCTTTTGTACTCTTTCTCTTGACCTCTAGTGACCGGCAGCAGCCTGGTGAGAAGGCTAGAACTAAGTGTTATACCGTAGCTGTAAACCAGAAGAAAGTCAGCTGACCTGCATCACTATTGTAATTCAGTGGTCTTAGCATTAGAATTGTATCTCCTGTTTTTGTTGTTAATTAATAAGTTTTAAGTTGTGCCTGAATGAAATGTGAATATTATATCTACAGGCTTTTGAAGATATATATATTGAAAGGAAAAAGACCATTAAGATTATCCTGGATTATGCTGACAAGATATTCACTTACATCTTCATTCTGGAATTGCTTCTAAAATGGGTAGCCTATGGTTATAAAACATATTTCACCAATGCCTGGTGTTGGCTGGATTTCTTAATTGTCGATGTAGGTACTTTTGAGTACATTATAAAAGAGAGTTTATTCTTACTAAGTGTTCTGAAAAACTTTCACCAATGTTATATATTAGCATATTTTAAATATGGTTATATACTTTTAGGCTATAGGTTTGAGTTTTTAGAAATATTA